AGGACCACCCTTAGAAGAAAGTTCAAGAAACAAACAACTACGGTCTTCCCCCGAACATAACGCACCCTAAAAATGAATGTATACAAGCTATATTTCCGGCCAGATACAGCCAAAATAAGGGTGCGTTGTGTTCGGGGGAAGACGGTAGTACCTTAAATGCCAGGCATCTGCCCCATACAAAAATTTAAAGTGGCTGTTAACAGTGTTAAGGAATATTAGGAGTTATAGTTCCTCCATAAAAAAAAAAAAAAAAAAAAAAAAAAAAAAGGAGTTATAGGACGAAAAACACACAAAGCATTGCCAATTGAAAAACAAGAGAAAAAAACAATAGTTCTACCTGAAATGCCAGGCATCTACCCCATGCGGATTATGGTGGGTCTTGAAGAAAAGGGCCCAAGACAATATCTCCCGTACATTACCCTATTGTAACCACAGAGAGCGGCATGGTACCCATCTTTTCTGGCCGCCATTGTGTGAACCAGTTGCAGTGACCCCAGCTGGAAGAGAATAAGGGGTTGTGATCTTCTTTGTCCAATCCAAAAAAAAATAAAAAAATGCTGGAGGGTGTTGCGAATATTATGAATAGTGGAAGATAGGTTGGAGTGATGGTGTAAGCCTCATTTCAGAGCACATCACTTCTTGCCTACATGGCCTCCAAATGGCCCACAGCAGCCCCGCTGGAAGGGTTTCGTACACTTAATTCGCCTTGGGGCCTTGGGGCCTTGGGGCCTTGCGGCCTTGGGGAGGGGTATAAGTACAGCTTGCAACGCCATCCCTCCTTCTGTGAAGTTCTGTCCACAGATCTCCCCAGTGAGTTGGTATGAAATGGAATTTGTCCTCTTTCTGGTTTGCCCATACCTATCTTACATGCTTGCAGAGAAGTTGCAGGCATACTCAGGAGTTTGTCTCTTTCTTTCTTTCTTTTTTTTTTTTTTTAAGACCAGGTTGTTGTAGAGTGGTACCCTGTCTTCTTCCTTTCTCGGCCTCTAACCGGTATCATGATTCTCTTGTCTGAATCTGGGTCTATTTCTGGGTTACCTTCGTGTAGTCTTGCTTGGGTAAGAAGGGCCGCCAAGCTTCTAGCTTTTAGGACTGGAAGTTGGCCGCGGTATCTCCAATCTGTACTTGGGCTTTTTGCCTCAGTCTGTACATGTTTTCTGTCGGTTGACTCTCTTTTTTTTTTTTTTTTTTTTTAAGAAAAAACACCCCCCACCAGTGTTAGTGCTGCTGGTAAGAGCAGACACCACTAATCTGACCTTAGCTCTTTGTCCGCTGGCCGTGAATTCCTTCTTGGTAACGTCTATGGTCTCACGGTAGTACTTAAGTTGTTCTCATCTATTCGTTCGGTCCCTATTCCTTGCGACTATTCAAACCCCTGACGAGCTCCGGTTGGTGGCCCGACGAAACGCAGCGTCGGTTGCTGCCCCATGCTACGCAATGCTTATTCTACGATGCTGTGGCGGTGCTTTATGATCTATTTTTCGGCCTATTGGTCGCGTTTCGGGATTTCGGGACTATGTGCTTTCCCCTCCTTCTCCTTCTTCTCTCTCTCTTCTTTGTCTTCTCTTCTCTCTCTTCTTTCTTCTCTAAGACTTCTCTTTTCTCCCCCATTCTGTCTTCTCTTTTTTTGCCTACGTGACGCATTTTGTTGTTGCTGTGGACTTGTACTTATCAGCTTTTCGCGCTGTAACCACCGTAAGGATTGTTTTACGGTCCTGTGAAGGCGCAGCCTGCGCTGACCGAGTATGTCGATTGTCAACGTGGGCTCTCTCTTTCCTCTTTCCCCTCTCTCTCTTTCCTCTTTCCTCTCTCTCCCCTCTCATTATCTTCCTTATTAGTTCTCTTGTTGGTTTTTTATCATGGAAGCACCACCACGTGATGGTTGCTTCAACTGTGGTCAAGTGGGTCACTGGTCGCGATAATTGTTCCTCGGATGTCCTCATCTGTTATCATAGGCCGCCCGTGGCAACGGGGGCCAATGCGGAGCCGCTCTTAGCACTGCCAGCTGCTAATTCTCGTACTGCTGCTGGGTCACAGGTAACCTCTGCGAGTACGTATTCGGCGCAACCTCGTACAGGGTCGTGGACTCAGAATCAGCAAATATTGGATAAGTGTAACACCTTCATCAGTCGGGCCGAGCAGAAAGAGAGGGACGAACGGGCGGCCAAAGAACGTCTGAAGAAGCAGCGAGAAAAAGAGGAGGCGGCCGTTAGGCTCAAGAAAGAACGTGAGGATTTCAAGTGCCGAATGGGGCAAAGATTGGAGAGCAGGGTTGCTCCCATGTACGATGCTATTATGGGTAAGGGAGTCAACAAAACCAACAGCGGCTCAGCTGACGAGGAAGTGCCTCGTCAGCGATGGGAGAATGAGGAGATGCGTGCCAAGTACGGCATCGTTGAGCAGCTGCCGTCTACGAACCTCGTCGATCGTCTGCAGAAGGAGAATAACGATATCAAGAAAGCGGGGGATGACTTGAAGACTCGACTGGAAAACGATATGGCGGCACTCAAATGGGAGATCCGGGACCTCAAGAATCACCACGAATCAGTGGGGAGAAGTAACCTCACGAAGCAAATTGATGAGCTGCGGTCAGAGATTGAGCTGCTCCACAAACGGAACGAGGAAACGGAGGAGGTCGCTCAATTGTGGAGGAGCGAGGCCTTACGGCCTGGGAACAAACGGGGAAGCATCAACATGTCGACGCCAGCTAGCAAGGGCCGCACAGTGACTCGCTCTCAATTGGGGGGTGGTCCCGATGAAGAAGCACGACGCCTTTGTGGAGAGGTGCAAGACCTGCATGAGTGTCGTCGCTGTGATCAGACTGAAGTAGATATGCTCAAGGAAAGGTGTGCCAAAGCTGAGGCACAACGCATGGATGCGGAGGTGTAGCTAGAGAGACTACGTGAGAAGATGGGGAGGTTGTCCACTGATGGTACTGGTCTGGGTACTCCTCAGGTCGTAGGGACGAATCTCAAAGAGAAGATGGAGGACGCTGCAAAAATTGGCTTCCATACGGGGAGACGTGGATGGGTGAAGATGAGTCCAGGGAGAATACCGAGGAAGGACAGCGTGAGAAAGGCTAATGACAGGTATGCCTTCGTGCAAGATGAGAAGAAGCGGCTCAAGGCACTGAAGAAGGGGGGCTTGGAGCCTCTCTGCAAGGAAGCTGGGATCAGGTATAAAACGTGGATGCCACGGTTGATGAGCTGGCCGAACTCAATGCTGAGAGAAGGTTCGGAGGGAGCAGTAGCTCTGATGACAAGATGGATCCGGACCATGACCACGGTAAGTCAACCTCGGAAGACAACAATGTCGCTGTGGTCGAGGAAGTCCTGTCGGATTCTGCTTGATGGGACTTCCGAAACGCAGCGTTGTGGGGTCTTGCTAATAATTATTGTCGTATTAATAGGTCCTCCTCTACTTCTGCTCTCAAGGATGCGGCGTGGAACTCTTTCTTTCAAGTGGTCGTGTTGGTTCTCAATGATCCCGTGGGCTGAGAAATTCCGGTGCTACTTTTTGTCTAAAGTCAAAGGTGGTGGTGATCTTTTTCGTTGCAAAGGTCCTCTTGTCTACGTCTTGCTGTCCCCTTGGCACAAGCATGCTTCTGTGGGATCGACTGGTCGGGCACTTGATATTCGCTGGTGTGAGCATGTCTATCGCACTTGCAGTGGTACTGTTGTCGAACATGGCGAGAGAAATCATACACTTTACAATTGGCTTCGGCGCTGTGGTCCGGAGCATTACGTGGCGCTTCTTCGGTTTCGCTGTGAATCATCTGATGATTCTGATCTTCTTGATTTGGAGCGGTTTGTTATTCGTAAATTCAATCCTTTTCTTAACAGTAAGGAAAACCGGTATGTCGGGCACGTTCATGACCGGGCAAACAGGAACGGGCTAAACAGAGATGGAGGAAAATCCAACTTGCGGTACCAGTGGCTGAGGACTTACTTAGTAATTTTCCTCGTCATTCGCATCTATCGTTTGTCACTGGTGAGGGGGTTCTGTCGGCCAGTTTGCTTGGTCTACTTGAGGACGCTAAGGTGAGTGGGCGGAAGAACCTTACTGTGCGGTGTGTTGGTGGGGAAATACTCATCGACAAGTGGAAAGTTGTTAAACGATGTTTTGGTGGATCGGTTGTCGAATCTATCTTAAGTTTGGTGTTGGTTCGTTGAAGTCTTGAAGAGGTGTCATGAGTGGCTGAAGGACGGGGCCACTCTGCATTTCCGTTCCATTTCGTATTTTTGTTCCATCTTGCTTTGTCTAAAACCAACGTTACTTGGTTTTCTAACGGAACCCGGGACACGTGCATGTCTTCCTAGGTGGGACTTGGACAAGTTGGTTGGACTCTATTCGGCGATCCGGTGTTTTAAGGAGAAACGAACTCGCTATCAGCTACGCTGCTTGGTGTCTGGAGTAATCAGGCGGCAGTTTGGTATTAATGTTCAAACCCGTCTTGTTGTTCGCATAACCTATGATGCTTGTCTCAGCAAATGTGTCATTAGGAAGACGTGCTGTGATATCTTACGTCGGATGGATGTTCCGTACTGCATGCGTGAGATGATGGCCCGCAGGTTAAGAGTGGTGTGGGTGAAAAATCAAAGTGTGGGTGACATCTTGTTCAATTTTCGTGATGTGTCTAGGCAGAGTGAGCACTATTGTGATCGTGCCAAATATGAACAGTCCGTTTAGTCGGATTGATGGACATGTTTGTTTCAGGTTAGCATCTACCGAATTCATACCGCCCTTTCTGCGAAACTCTCAGAATGTTCCACGCCCCTCTCGTGTCACCTCTCGCCGGAATTTGGTTCGGCAAATTGTTGCTTCCTTTCATGAAGTTTGATCTTATGCCGTCTCTTCCTAAGTTCAATTCGGAGAGTCTCGGGAATTACCTACTTCATTCTTGCTTCAACAATACCATGGTTTACTACGATAGTGCTTATGGATTGAAGGTGTCCTGAAATGGAAAATGTTGTTCGGGGATTTGGTGACGGTTCCCATTGATCACAATGCTGGCAACACATTGGTGTGTTGTCCGGTGGTTTATAGACAGAGTATGGAAACGTCGTTTTTGAAGAACTCTGGCTTTGTAATTTGCCACAACGAAAAGGCGATTATTGAGTCATGTGCGGCTCGCTTCCGTGACGAAGGTTTCAGACGACTAGGTAAGTGGAATGGGGCTTGGAATTTGGGACAGGCGTATTCGATACCCAAGCATAAGGATATTGCCAAGTGGCGCCCGAATTGTCCCACCCATTCAAAGTGCGGGGTTCGGGCGAGTAAGAGGGCGGCACATTGGCACAAGGCATCAATCACCTACTACGGGAGTTACCCTCGGCTACCAACTTTAATCTCAAAAGTATGGCCAAACTGACTTCCGCGGTTGGGAGAGTTAACAAGGAGCTGTGGAAGGGTGAGTGTTTTTCAAGTGCAGCATTTGATATCAAAGAGATGTTCTGTAATTTACCACACGACGCCATCATGAAAGCGGTCCGATGGGTTGTTGACTTCTGGGCGTTTCGGGGATGCAAGGGGGTTTTGGTCAAGCAGAGGGGGAAAGGGGCTAAACTGAGATTTGAGGGTGCACAGCTTGGATGGAATTCAATTCCATTTGATGTCCTCATTGATTTTGCCAGATTTGACCTTGACTGTACTTTCTTCAAAGCCTGTGGGCAAATGCTGCAATCCTGCAACAAAAGGTCGGGATTCCAATGGGTAAATCGTCTAGTCCCGCTCTGGCATGCCTTCTGTGTGCCTATAACGAGTTTCGGTTCCTTTCGTCTCTTGGATGTGACAGAAAGTTAGTCTGTGGCATACAAATGGTAGATGATGTCTCTGTCTTTGTGAGATATAAGGACGGGGACCCAAATTCTCTGACAACAGCTCAGTCCATTTTGAATAGGTTTCGACACTGTTATGACTCTAATCTTGTGTTGGAACTTACAAGTGATAGTGATTGTTGGGACTTTCTGGGTGTGTGTTGAAAGTCCTTGATTGGCCATGGGGTATTCAATGTGTCACCCTACATAAGAATCAAAGGCATTTTGGTGAGGACAAGTTGCGGTTCTAGAATCTGCAGGACTTCAACTCTTTCTCTTGTAGCGAGCAAAAAATGGCGGTGATCGGATCCTGCCTACATAGGGCTAAAGCGTACACCACGATGGCTGACATGGAGGTGGCTTTTCTCCTTATCCTCAAGATTGAACTCAGAAAGAGAGGCTTTCCTGACGCCTATTTTGATAATGCTCTGCGAATTTTTTCAAGGAAATTCGCGGGCGTTTGGGAGGAATGGGTCACTTCTCTGACAGGATGGGAAGGTCTTTTTCCGAAGGGACCGGACTACGGTCCTTCAAAAGTCATTTGACGAGTATGGGAAGATCGGGTGATATACGTGACAGGCCAGGGTGATCTATTTCAATGCAGGCTTTGCCTCAGCCGGTTTCAAGACTGTGTGAGGGGTATTTGACTAATGATTTGCCTGGTAGTAGACAGGTCGTTACAGTTCATTGGTAGCATACTCTGAGATTTAGATCAGACATGTATGGGGCACTCATAGTAGGGGTACTTGGGTCTGTGGGCCTATTTCTATTTTTTGTTCTAGTTTTTTATAATGTTTTTGCGATCAATTCTTTTTTTCGGAACGCATTGGGGTCTTCAGTGACAGAACGAGGTAGTGGTCTTACAGGTGGCTATCGGAGTCGGTGGCATCCTGGTCTTTTTTGTTTTCTTTTCTCGCCCCCTCTTTTATCCTGTCTAAATTCGGGCCTCCTGTTGGGTTACATTCGCCTACCTTTTCCGGGGTCGTAGACAGGTGGCGAGTGGAGAAGTATTCGGCGGTACCCTCTCTTCTTCCTTTCTCCGCCTCTAACCGGTATCATGATTCTCTTGTCTGAATCCGGGTCTATTTCTGGGTTAACTTCACGTCCTCTTACTTGGATAAGAAGGGTCACGAAGCTTCGAGATTTTAGGACTGGAAGGTGGCCGCGGTATCTTCAATCTGTACTTGGGCAGAAGTTGGGCTTTTTGTCTTTGTCTGTACATGTTTTCTATCGGTTCTGACCTTAGCTCTTTGTCCACTAGCGGTGAATTCCTTCTTGGTATCTTCAATGGTCTCGCGGTAGTACTTAAGTTGTTCTCATCTATTCGTCCGATCCCTATTCCTTGCGACTATTCAGACCCCTGACGAGTTCCGGTTGGCGGCTGGATGAAACGCAGCATCGGGTCGTTGCGCCATGCTACGCAATGCTTTTTCTTCGATGTTGTGGCGATGCTTTATGATCTATTTTTCGGCCTATTGGTCGCGTTTCGGGATTTCGGGACTATGTGCTTTCCCCTCCTCCTTCTTCTCTCTCTCTTCTTTGTCTTCTCTTCTCTCTTTTCTTTCTTCTCTAAGACTTCTCTTTTCTCCCCATTTTGTCTTCTCTTTTTTTGCCTACGTGAAGCATTTTGTTGTTGCTGTGGACTTGTCCTTATCAGGTTCCAGACACATGGTGGTCGCTGCATCAGCTAGCCATCAATTGTCCCGACAATTGTTCCGTTTGTGAGACCCCTTCCCAACCCATCCTCTCATCAATTCTCCCAGTGCACCCCCCCCCCCCCCCCCTCTATTTCTGCTCTCCTACCGTAGTGTTAATCACCTTGGACTATCACCTCATTATCTCAGAGCATGACTTGGACCGAATAGCAGTTACAGGCACCAGGGCTAGGCTTTCCCTAACGGGACAAGCCCGGACTGGCCCAACTTACCCAAGGCTTAGATGTATCTCGGACAAGCACGGAGTTGCTATTAACCTCTTCCCAACCCTTCAACTTCGGACGCCAGGCACAACCAGTATCCTATCAGCCCCACAATTACTACCCAGATTCCTACTGAGGCACCGGAGGGGGTTTGTCTTTTTCTGTGTCTGTGAAGATTCTAAAACAACTTACCATTCGACCCCGCTGAGTGGGAATGGAGATGGGG